TTCAGCCTGCCTCTCTATGTCATTGCTGCCCTTCTCGCTCTGCAGGATTTCTCCTGAATCCTTGAGTGTGCTGTGTTCTTTGAGATTCAATCTTTCCGTTGTTCAGGACAAAAATTCTTTTAGAATCAACTTTGACTCTTGATTCTCGCATATCAGGAAAGCTCCCACTTCTCACCACCTCCTCCACCACCGCCCCAGCCACCTGGGTTTTTGCGACAGCCTCCTAACCGTCTTCCTGTTTCCGTCCTTGCCTCCATCACTGTCTGTACTCCACATGGCAGCTAGAGGTTTTCTTTTAAAATGTCAGTCAGATCATGTCATTCTTCTGCTAAAAACTCTCCAAAAGCTCCCCACCTCACTCAGAGTAAAAGCCAAAGTCCTTACAAGGGCCTAAGAGCCCTGTATAAGCCCGTGTGACCTGGTCCTCTCTACCTTCCAACCTTGTCACCTCTCTCCTCAGTTTCACTCCATACACTGGCTTCTTACTGTTCCTCAGTCATACCATGCGTATGCTGCCTCGGATGTCTGTACTTGCTCTTCTCTTTCTCTGGAATGCTGTTCCCTCAAGTCTCAGCTCAAATGTCAATTTATAGGGAAACCTTCCCTAATCACCCTATCTAAAATAGTACACTTACCCTCAATCGCTTTCTTCTCCCTCTTTTCCATTTCATTTTCTTCATGGGGCTTAGTACCACCTGATGTAGTATATGTGTATTTGTTTACTGTCTGTCTACTTTCACTGAAATGTAAGCTGCTCAAGGGGAGGGACTTTTTTTTTTTTACCTCTGTATTCCTGTCACCTATGAGCACATCAGCCCTCCTGTCTCCTTTGAGATCTTGTTCTGTTAATTCTCTTCATTACCTCGTTTCATCTTCCTTGTCTATTGGATAATTTCTTATTGTCAATAAGCATTTTCAACTTATTCTCCTCATTGAAAACACATGAACAACCTGCCCTCAATTCTGTATCTTCTCATTATCAAGGCATTAGTTGCCTTCCTTTCAAGTTTCTTGAAAGAGTTTATGTGCACTTATCCCTTCGCTCTCCCTCTGGTTTCTCCCTTGGCCCTCTGTGACAAGGCTTCCGTCTCTGGTTTGCCAGCGACACTGCTTTGGCAAAGTTCTCTAATAACCTTCTGATTGGGAGAAATAAGTAGGCACATTTTGCTCCTTTCTATAGCTTTGTACTGTACTGATTATTCCTTTTTTTCCCCTTATAATTCTTTCAGCCTTGCTGAAGTCTTCCTTTTCGATTGTGTCTGCTGGTTCCTTCTCTGCCCCTTCCATAGGAGTGTCCTACAGGGCTCTGTCTTCAGCTCTCTTCTTCTGGCTCTGAGTCCCCCTCCCCCCATGACTGCATCTATCCCATGCTTTTAACTACTGTTTTTGCACTGATGACTCCTAAATCTGTATCTTTGGCCTGGATTTTTCTCTTGAGCTTGAGGCTTATATCTCCATCTCTCTCCTGGACCTGTCCTACTTGATATCCCGTGCCACATATGCAGAAGCATACATGCTATTAACCTCTCCCAGAAGAGCACAACTTCACTATAGCAGTTGCTTCTCCACAGCTCGCCATCTTGGTCAGTGATCCACCTGGTTGTTCCAGGCAGACTCTTGGGAGTCACTCTCAGCTGCTTCCTCTCACTTAGCACTGCCCTGTCAGAGTGGGCACCAGCTTCTCTCGCACATAGCTCTTCCGAGTCCATTCCCTTGTCTCAGTTCTCATTGCCCCTGCCATAGTTTAGATCTTCATCCTTTTCTCCTTTGTAGCATGGTCCTTAAGAGCGTGAACTCTGAAGCTAGACTGCGTGGGTTCTTATTTTGGATCTGCCACTTATTATGTGACCTTGGTCAAGTTTTGTAACTTCTCTGTGCCTCAGTTTCCTCATTGGTAAACTAGGGATAATAGTTTCTTATGAGGATTAAATAACTGAACAGATATAAAGTGCTTAGAACAGTACCTGACACTTCCTCTTTGTTGTTATTTCTACTGTTATAGTACCACCCAGCTGACCTCTGTACCTCTGGTATTTTCTACTCTGCCACAGGGCAGCTTTCAGAAATGGACATCTGACCACATCATTCCATTTTTAAAAATTTCTGTGGCTTTCAGTGGTGTGACCACTACTTATGTCCAGTTCGTCTCCACTGTCCCTCTTCTCTCACTCTCTATCACAGCTATATTAGATAATTGGCAGTTTTCCAAATAAGCTCTGGTCGTGCATGCCTCGGCATCTTTGCACATGCTATTTCTTCTGCTTGAAGTGTCTTTCCCTGGTTTTATCTACGAATCTTTAATGATCTTTCAAGACCATGTCGGTTTTTTACATTCAATTCTCACTTTTTAATCAGTCGAGTCCATCAGTTAACCAGTCACAGCCAATAGTTACTGAAAGTCAAGTATAAGGGTGCTCTGGCGGATATAAGACAAATATAACATGCTTTTAAGGAGCATACAATCTTGTCAGGGAAGGGTACAGACAGACTTGAAACATTAAGGGACCATCCCTGAGAATGCTAAGGAGTGCACGCATTATAAGAGGGGGCAGCATCTCAGAGAAGGGCAAAATCACTGCTCACGGATATGGGGGAGTGGGGGTTTTAGGGTCGTTAGAAAGATTTCATGGAAGAGTGGGATTTGAGTTGGGCCTGGAAGGATGGTACGATTTGCATAGGTAGAGGGAGGGAGTGGATACTGTGGCCCAGGGAACAGAAAGCGCAGAGCTGAGGCAGTTGGCAGGTTGCTAAGTAGAGGAAGCCTGATAAGAAAATGTGTGTGTTAAAGAGTGCTGAGGTCATGAGGCTGCCCCAACACATGCTGTGGCAGGGAGCATGGAGTCACTGGTGTCACCGGAGCAGGGAGCATCCTGAGGAATTGTATGTTGTAATGTTCTATCCCACGCCAAGCCGCATTGGAGCCTGAGGCAAAATGAGAACTCGGTAATACTAATCCCGTCTTCATTCAAAATTTTGGTGTTCTGTTCATCAGAATATGATTTCTTTTTGTGTTAATTTTGATTCTTAAAAATATTGCTTTAAAACATGATTTATCTTGATTACTGCGATTTTGGCATCCCCTTAAATTTTGTGCCCAAGGCAAGTGCCTCACTTGTCCCAGTCCTTTATTTCTGAAGTTTGATGGGGGGGGACATGGGTATTTATTTTCTTATTATTAATTATGGCTTACTCATGTTATAAATATTCTTTGGTTAGTAGACAGTATTTTATAAAAAACAAGATAAAGAAATTAGAATTTTAAGAAGATTAATTTGGAACTTTGGAACCTGAAAACCATGAAGGGGAAAAGAATCGTTGGGCTCCTGAGTTAATCTCTAGGGGAGAATAACTCCCTCTTGCTGCCATGTATGCAGTGGGAGCAGAAGAAGGTTGTTTTGCCCACGTTTAAGTGGATGAAAGATAACTGGGGGAGTAGGGATACCAGAGGCTGCTGTCCTCTTGGAGATAGGCTTCCAGCAACTCAGCTGCTGCAGCCACAGCAACTCTGCCTGAGGCAAGCTCCCACAAATGGGCCACACAAGATGGGCTTGGCCCACATCTCAGTAAAACAAGTCCCTCCAGCCCTGCTCCAGGGGAAGCTGCTGGCTGCTGGCCACAGTGCTTATCACAGGGCCATGGCCCAAGAAGCAATGGAAGATTCATGAAGTCTGTAAATGTCTCAGGGCTACTTTCATCCAGGAGAAGAGGTAGTGTGTGACACAAAGAGTATTACTAGTACATCTAAAAAAGTGAAATCTAAAAACTGAAATCTATTGCTGATTAGTACACAAGTGAATAATGAAAGATTCTTTTGAGCCAGGGAAGCCAATTAGCATGCAGCACAGATCTCAAAAAAGGCCAAGGGAAAAGTTGACAGGTGCAGGCTTCTCCCTGTACTCGTCACCAGGTGCACTGCTCTGTCATTTGATGCGGACCTCCCTGTCAGCGCAAGCGTTTAGTAAGAGCTTCTCCAAGCTCAGGGTGGACGTTTTGACACAATATGTGAAAGCCACAGGCTGAATTTTACCATCAGATAAGTGAGTGGTCGCAAAAAATGGCTATTTCCTGAGGCCTAGGACCAAAGTCTTCTCCACCACACACTTGCTGGGATAATGATCCCTCTTGTTGGCACAACTGGCAAAGTTGTTCTTCAGAATTGAAGGAGAGAGAAAGAGTTTTCCAGACAAACAAAAACTGAGTTCATCACCACAGACTGGTCTTATGAGAAATATTAAAGGGAGTTCTTGAAGCTGTTGAGCCAAACACCTGAACAGAATGAAAACTTCCTGTTCAATAATAGCTTCTGGTGGAGGTAGGAGAATGAATAGCCATCATTGAGTTAGAACTCAGCCACTGCAAAACTCTTAGTGCTTGGAGCTACCCGGAGTCCATATGAGGAATCAGTCAAGCAGCCTTTTCCTATAGTGGATTTTCCTATAGTTGTCTTTCTTGGTACTATACTTCCACCTCACTGAAACACTGGTGTAGGGTCCAGGGCTATTGGGATCTTCACAGTGCATGCTCCTTACCAATGAGCAAATGTCTTAGAGTCATACCAGACCCTGTTTGATCCTAGCAGAAACATGTCAGTCACAGTAGCTTTTGGTTCTGTGACCAGATGAACCAATAAAGCACTTCCTTTTAGGCAGCTCTCTGTTGAGCCTGGCTTCTTGAGCCCCATCCTCAAGATGATAAACTTCCGTGTTCCTTCAAGACCATGTTTAATCCTCATGTGAAAACCTGGCCCTCTCCATGGACAGGTGATCACTCCCTTAGCACTGACTATGATGTATTACAGTTATTTGTTCTCTGTCTGTCTACTTCACAAGGCTGTGAGCTTCATGATGGTGGGGACTGCAGCCTTTTATTCTTCCTCTTCTTACACAGGGCCTTGTACAGTGATTGGCTCAGAGCAGATGCTCTGGAAACGTTGTTGAATTAGTAATCAGGGGTTCAGGAGACTACTGAGATTTCTGTACTTCTTTCTTCAATTTCTCCAGGCTGCAGGAATTAGTTGATCGAGTGCTGGAACGTTTTCAGGCATCTGGACTAATAGTGAAAGAGTGGAATAGTGTGAAACTCCATGCTACAGTCATGAATACTCTATTCAGGAAAGACCCCAATGGTAAGTCCTCCATAGAACTGGAGCACAGTTTGTGATCAGCAAGGCCTTATGATATCCCTGGGGTTTGAATAGAATGGGCTATCAAAGAATCTCTGATATATCTTCTTTTTTAGGTCTGTTAGCTTGTTTTGATAAGCACAGTGGAAGTGGGCAGGGACATATCTAGCATGGGAGTGTGACATTCCAAATCTTGTCTTTCTGTCACACAGAGGGATGCCAGATTTAGCAAATAGAAATACAGGATGCCCGGGTAAATTTCAGGTAAACAATGAATAATTATTTTAGTGTAAGTATGTTCAATGCAATACTTGGTGGCTTTTTTTTGAAAAGAAGAAAGGAAGATTAGCTAGTAAAAATAAATGTTAGACCAGTGGTTCTCAACTATGGGCAATTTTGCCCCCCCAGAGGAAATTTGGGATTGTCTGGAAACATTTTTGATTGTCACATTTAGGAGATTGGAGGTGGGCTGCTACTGGCATCGAGTGGGTAGAGGCCAGGGATGCTGCTTAACCCTCTGCAATGCACAGGACAGCCCCTCACAACAAAGAATTATTCAGCCCAAAATGTCAATAGCACCAAAGTTGAGAAATGTTGTGTTAGAGTGATGATTTTTTTGCCCTCATGGAATCGGAGTCTTCATATAAAAATGCCTTGTTTTAACCCTTGATGTGGAATAATAAACTACATTTCAAAAAGGATTCTTCTTTTCTTCCCATTCCCACCACCAAAGTGAAATCTTCTCTAGCACATTCAGCATCTATCTGATCAGGAGCCACAAATTGAAATTATATGCAGCTTCTCCTTCCAAAACCTGTTGTTTAAAATATACCGGCACCAAAATCCCGTATTCAGGTGTTATTTCCTTTGTTAGAACCATGATCTTGGTTTTAGAAAGTCTAGATTGGAAGGGGACTCCATCAGGACTCAAACCCATAAACTATTTGTAGATTTATACTTTAGGACAGTTTGTGTCTCCTTTTTGTCAAAGTACAGCTTTTTATTTCTCTCAGATATATACCAAGGATCCCATCTGGAAGTCATTTAATATTAACCCCACTTGCTTAGAGCCATCGTAGAACGAAGAGAGAGGTAGCTAGGCAATTTTTAGTTCTAGTGTAAATGTTTTGTGCTTCTAGATTGTATTTTATTTAAGACTTTTCTAAATAAACCACTATTTTACCTTTGGGAGCACTGAGATCAAAAACGTTCAAATGACTCAGTCAAAACCTATAGGCTCTTGTTTGGGGAGTTAATAGAATCCAAAACTCTATACGTGTTCTTGTTCTGAGGGAATGCATTTCTTTCATTTGAATAGTAGTATTGCAGAAGAATATTTGGAATTCCAGAAAAAAGAATATTTTCTGGAATATTTAATATATATATTATGATGTAGCTTGTCCAATGGAAACATTTAAAAGAGTTTATAGTATTTATTTTGTTCTGGACAATTTCAATTTTGGAAAACAGAGATCCCCTGAGGTGATGTCCATTTTAATATTATTCATATAGAGACAGAATTTCAGGACTCTAGAGTACACTCTAAATTTATTTGTTCAGAGGATGTATTGTATCCAGTACCATCCAATAGAACTTTCTGGATGATAGAAATATTCTGTGTCTGTGATATCCAGTGTGGTAGCCACTATCCACATTATTGAGCACTTGAAGGTGGCTAGTGAGACTGAGAAAGTGGACTTTTAATTTTTGCTAGTGGCTACTATTTTGTACAGTGCAGGTATAGACAGTATTTTATTAGACATATAATACTATCAACAGTACATTGTGTATCTGTCCTAGTCCTTAAATCTTAGTTCAGAGCTCCTGCATCTATCCATGCCCCATTATTAACTAGCCTCTTGACGTAAAAGAGTTGAATTATGTAGGAATTTGTATCTTTAAATTGTATGGATCCAGATTTATATTCTGTTAGCACTAGAGCTTCATATAAGAAAATGTCCTATGTTCACGGTTTAGCTATCTTTTCCTAGTTACAGATATTTTAAATATAACAGCTTTGAGATGTAATTCACATACTATATAATTTGCCTACTTAAAGTATATAACTCGAGGTACAGACTTCCAGTTATAAAATAAATAAGTTATGGGGAAGTAATGTACGGCATAGGGAATATAGTAAAGAATACTGTAATAACTTTGTATGGTGACAGATGGTGACTAGACTTGCTCTGGTGATCATTTTGTAGTGTATATAAATGTCGAATCACTATGTTGTACACCTGAAACTAAGAAAATAAATTAAAAAATAAAGTATGATTTTTAGTATATTCAGAGTTATGCAACCATTAACACAATCAATTTTAGAACATGTTCATCATCCCCCCAAAAAATCCCATACCCATTGGCAATGACTCCCATTTCCCCCTAACCCTCCAGTCCTAGGCACCGCCAGTCTACTTTCTGTTGTATGAATTTGCCTTTTCTGGATATTACATATAAATAGAATCATGCAGCATGTGATCTTCTGTGACTGGCTTCTTTCACTTAGCATAATGTTTGCAACATTCATCCATGTAACATGTATCATACTTTATTCTTTTTTATTGCCAAATAATATTCTGTTGTATGGATATACCACATTTTATTTATCCATTCATCAATTGATGAAGATTTGTGTCATTTCTACTTTTTGGCTGTTACGAATAATGCTTCTGTGAACATTCATGTACACATTTTTGTGTAGGCATATATTTTCATTTCTCTTGGGTATATACTTAAGAGTGAAATTGCTCTCTATTAAACATATGATAACTCTGTGTTAACTTTTTGAAAAACTGTCAGACTGTTTTCCAAAGTGGCTGCACCATTTTACATTTCTACCAGCAATATACGAGGATTTTAATTTCTTTGCATCTTTACTAACACTTGTGATTATCTGTCTTTTTGATTACTGCCATCCTTGTGGGTATGAAGTGGTATCTCATTGTGGTTTTGATTTGCATTTCCTTAACGGCTAGTGCTACTTATAGATTTTGAACCTATCATTAAACATTTCAGTCTTCAGATATGATTACTGGTTTTTTATTGGTATTTCTTTAGTGTGATTTAGAGTTTCACATCTCCTCTTAACAGGGGACCTATTTTTAAGTTGTGAAATATACTTGGAATTGGGATCTTTGATTAACAGAATAGCTCTCATTAGAGAAATAGTCTCATAGTTACCCATGTGTAATTCCAGTGGACTAGCTAAAATATATTGTGTTCATGGAATTAGCACTCTGGATATATTTTATCAGTTCTGACTTGGTTGTCTCCAAACTTATATACAGTAAAAGAGCATACTCAAAAGTGGAAATACAAATATTTTTGAGAATCTGTCGGTGGGCAGGAAAGGGTTGATATTTCAGAAAATATTCTGAGAGTTAAATAATCTTTGAGGAGACTTTGAATATTCTATACTCTGTGTTGAATTTTTACTTGAAAAGGACATAGAATAAGGTGTTTCACTTTTTCTTTCCTGTTATCCCTTCCCTTTGATATCCTTTTTCTTGCTGTACTTTAAGGACACCTTTTGGGCAAGCTAAATTAACTCAAGGAGTTACAGCACAGCTTTGATAAAGCTAAGGTCATGGATTTGCTGCATTTCTGTGTAGAATGTCTGTAAGGATACCTTTGATTGCAGCTAAAGGGGTCTTTCTCATTTGGGGCGAGTCTTCAAATCAACCCAAAGCATGGTTGCCAGCATTTTTGACTAGTTAATGTGTGAACTTTTGTGTATTTTTACATATTTAAAAATGCATATGGCCTTTACAAAATCTTGGGTTTTTAGACTGCAAGTAACCTTTGGAGATCACCTAGTCTTACCCCCTAACTTTGTAAATGAGGAACTGAGGTCCATAGAGCAGACATAATTTGCCTAAGAATATAGCTAGTTACATAGTTAATTTACAGTGAGTACAGTCATGTGCTGCATAATGACGTTTCAGTCAACAACAGACCGTATATATAACAGTGGTCCCATAAGATTAGTACCATGTAGCCTAGGTATGTAATAGGCTGCACCATCTAGGTTTGTGTAAGTACACTCTATGATGTTCACACAATGACGAAGAAGTCATCTAATGACACATTTCTCAGAACGTAACCCCCTTGTTAAGCAACATGTAACTATACTCAGACAGTACTGAATGAATAAGTGTATACTGAATGAATCCATGACAGAACTGAGACTAGACACTGGCTCTCTTGACTTATAGCCTGATGTTTTTCCCTCCATATTATGCCACTTTCCAGGTAGTACATGAAGATTTTGTTAGTTGTACCTATAGAAATCCAAGAGAAAATGACAGATAAATAATCCAAGCGTCTCTTCTAACATTATCTTTGGAATGTTTACAGCTGAAGGCAGGTACAATCTCTACACAGCGGATGGCAAATATATCTTCAAGGAAAGAGAATCATTTGATGGCCGAAACATTTTAAAGGTCAGTATGAAGTAGAGTGAATTGGAAATCCTTTGGCGTGTGTCCTAAATAAGCAAGGAAAACAAGTCATTTTTTTTTTTTTTTTTGTGAGGAAGGTCAGCCCTGAGCTAACATCCATGCTAATCCTCCTCTTTTTCCTGAGGAAGACGGGCTCTGAGCTAACATCTATTGCCAATCCTCCTCCTTTTTTTTCCCCAAAGCCCCAGTAGATAGTTGTATGTCATAGTTGCACATCCTTCTAGTTGCTGTATGTGGGATGTGGCCTCAGCATGGCCAGAGAAGCGGTGGGTCCATGCACGCCCAGGATCCGAACCCGGGCCGCCAGTAGCGGAGCGCGTGCACTTAACCGCTAAGCCACTGGGCCAACAAGTCATTTTTTTAACAATAAACTATATTTTTCTCAGGCTTCTCATAAGGCTCATTGATTGAAAGTGTTGTTTAAAAAATTTTTTTCTTAATGTCCTAGAAGAAAAGAGAAATCTTTTTGACTCTGTTAAGGCTGTGGTATATCTAGAGTACTTGAAATTGACTTAAGAAACAAGTATCCCAACTACTTGGATCCATAGGAATAAGTTGATTTTAACCTGTTGAGTTTTACTCTGTATTTTACGTCTGGAGGTCTGAGTTTGCATTTTTTTAAGTGAAAAAATAGTTGTCTTGTTCTAGTAGATTTTTCTCTTCAGTCACAAAGTCACTTTTCAAAGTTGTTTTATAATCTGTTTTTACTCAGAACTGCCCTTGTCCTAAAAAGTAGGTGGTCCAGTTCTGACTGTTGAGGCTTTGCTTTCTGAGTGTTAAATTAATCTATGAAATTTAAATGAGAGGTTCTTCAGGATTGCATTTATCGTTCTCCCACAGACCACATTATGTAATGTCCATGATTTATGCTCTCTCTTTTAGGTTAACATGCCTTTGTGTTTCTGGGCAAAGAGAAACATGACTTGATACCAATGGAGCGCTTCTTCATTCTTCATTTCACTTGTTCTGTTATGGTGTAGGTCGTACGTTTTCCAGGCCATGGGTGTTTTTGGAGCTGGGAGAGAGAGTATGTATATAATAACTTCAGAATAAGCTTTAGCTTTGGAAATGCTTTTTCTTTTTCCTTCGCTACCTCATCCTCCATTCCGTTATCTTGTCACTTGACAGTTTTCTTGCCAAATGCCTAATGTGACCCCGTTGCTACAATAATGACATCACTCTTCAGCAGCTGCAAGCTTCCTACTGCAGAGCCCAGCAGGGCAATGACAGCCTTCACCTAGGCAGGCATTCCAGCTCCCACACTGCAGAGCTGTGTTGATTCTTTCTTTTCCTTTATAGCTTTCCTCTTTTCGAGATGTTTTCTTGTTTTCAAAGTAGCTCTGGTAGCTTTGGGTTTGAGTGGCAGGTTAGTAATGAATTCAGTTGCATTTAACTTGACTGATTGTCCCAGGCCACAGCTTCAATGTGACATGAATCTTTCTCCTCCTCTATCTCATTTCCTTGGGGCTTTTCCGATAATAGCATTAATTACTTTGCTTTTTTGTTGTAGTTAATTTGATTAAGAAGGAAAATAGACTGAACGGGGAAAGAAATCTGTAGGAATGACTCAAGCCAAGTTGATTCTTTTGGAATTAGAATTAAAGCCCAAAAGATGTGTTGAAGCAAGTCAAGTGTGAAGTGCGTTGACATCTCTAAGAGGGAGGTGATGGCAGAGCGCCTGTGAGGTGGTTTTACAAACAATATGGATCTCTTACTTGATATTTAAAGTCAGTTTTCCATTTAAAGATGTTTTGCCTTGAAATCTTCCTAACCGCCCCAGTGATGACATGAATGTAGCTCCCTCTAGTGTTGACAAGGGCTTGCTATATCAGTACTACCCTTACTGGTTCATGCCTAATGAGAGTTTTAGAGCTGGGCCCAGCTATGATACTTGGAGACCATTTATTTAATCCAGTTTTCCGCTTTAATCTCTAAGGACACAAGATCCGATGTGGTTAAAGTGACTTGCCAAGGGTTACCGCTAGTTAATAGCTGAGTCTGAATCAGAACAAAAAGTTTCAAAACTCACATATTAGCATTGTTTCTGCTGCCTCTCATAAAGATGCTCATTGTTTAGGTAGAGATCGTTGATATTTGAAATTGGGCATATCAATTTGAACAGATTAAACAAAGTTAATCTGTTTTTCAAACCTAGTTAAACCTGATTAAAACTCTCTTCATTAATGTTGGGGTGTCAGTTATGTCTGTGTGTGTCAGTCTAAAACTGTGGCTAATTAAGAATTAGACTTTCGTGCTGAATATCCTACTAACACCAAGAGAAATATTTATTGACTCTATACCATCTGCCAGGCCATGTGCCCTGCAGATAAGACAGTCATTATGATACAATCCCTACCTTCCAGGAGCTTCCTGTCTTTGAGGGCTACGGACAGTTAATAGGCAATTACAATACACAGTGATGGGGGCGAGTTATGAGTATGGAGGAGAAGTGCCTTTCAGCACAGATAGCTATAACAAAGTGTCCTTTGGTATAGCTTCCAATATTTTACTTTTTAATCATTAGTTCCAGAAAATATAATCTTTCACCTATGTTCAATCAAAGAAGTTAACTTTTATTTGAGAATAAAGGTAAAATATGGCCTCAGCGATTACCCCCTAAACACACAAGAGGTAATAATTGTATTTGCGAAGTAGCTGTAGCAGCCCACCTGTTAGAATCACCACGAATGGACATGTCTTTCTCGATTAGAACACGAGAACTTATGGCCCTGCCAAAAAAAAGATTCAGAAAACCAATGAGTTATATATATAGTTTTTGTACCAGATAATGTTATTCTGTTTAGAATGAAAAAAAATCAGTTTCACTAACAAGATAGGAAATGACTTGGAGTAAACAGACAGGTTAACTGCATTGGTTGTTAAGGAGCCCAAGCGTATGTGTGCTGCATATTAACAGCTATGTAGGTCCAGGATCAGGAATACTGGTGATGGGAAGCAGCCTTGGAAAAAAATCAACTTCATCTACTATTCAAAGAGAAACAAAACGAGAAGGCAAGTCATTGCTCATTGCTATAAGAATGTAATGAGTAATAGCCAATTGCTGTTCTCTTCCATGAAGAGAATTGCTCCTTGTGGCTTGGTGTAATATTATGTGTTCTGGGTGCCTTAATAAGAAAAAAAATCTCTAATGACTTTTGGAGGTGGAAGCCACATTTTTCTTTTGTACAGCTCTTTTGAGAGTGCTTGCAGCTGTAATAGACTAGTATTTGGTTATTCCTAGTTAAAATAAGAATTTTCTTACCCTAAGAGGGACTTTGAAAGAACAGACAACAAAAGAATCATTCTCCTGTGTTTTTCAAACCAGAAAAGGAACAAACATATTTAGGTATGGTGGTTTTGTGTAGAAGGCTGACAGATAGTTCTGAAAAGAGGATAGATGAGTGAAGAAGACCTAGGCCAAATTAATAGGATAGTGTCCCCTCAGAGAGTTTCCATTTCTGGTCTAAGAGGTAGGGACAAAGATGCGGGTTTTTTTCCATAAGGCAGTGGTAAACTTAAATTGGAGAAATCATGCTGACCTAAAGCCAAACTGCCAGGAAATAACTGCTCCCTCACTAGCTAGAAGTAGAACGGTCATTAACTGCCAACTTCTGTAGAGAGAAGTTGTCTTAATGGCAGTCTGTTTGGGGGACTTATGTAATGGCCTTAAGTAGTTTTCCAAGAGTTTGCTCTCAGCATACTGAATAGGGGTACAATATTAACAGTTCGAAAGCAGAGCTTCTAACTCCAGAGTGAAGAGGAAGCACTGGAGCCCTAGGTTGGACTCACCAGAGGTGATTTGGTACAAATAAAGGCACAGTGATGTATTTGGGAAGGAATAGAAAGTACTGTTGGTCCAAAATCAAAGGACACTATGAAATTACCATTTCTCTAGACACTTGAAAGTCCTGGAAAATATAACCCAAGTAAAAAGGAGATACATTTGTGCCTTTTCCATTCTCTATATAAGAATCTTTAAATTTAGAGAAAGAGGGAATTTGCAGTATTAAACTAACTATATAGTTTTTAATACTTTACTTGAAAATATGTTTTAAATCTGTCTAGCCATATTGAGACTTTTATTGAAAGATGTAAACGAGAGTAGCTCAAGTATTTGATTCATTTTTCCTCTGCCCGTTAGTCTTTAAAAGGACAGTTAGAATGAATAAATTTAAATGAGATCTTTATTTAGTTTGCACTGCTTAGAGAAGTTTCTATAAAGGAAGCTGTTTAAAAATACATGCTATTTATTCTTTTTTGGTGAAACATATATATAGAAAAGTGTATAAAACATATATGTACTGTTTAACAAATAATCATAAAGTGAACAATGTAAGCGCTACCAAGGTAGCCAGCTCTTTAGTCTATTTGTCCTAAGGTAATGAAGGCACAATTAAATTCTTAAACATTCTCAGCAAAGAGGCTTGTTTTGTATGATTACTTTGTTTCGAAGTATTAGAAGAGTATCGAAAGATGAATTCATTTTTTTTTTCCTAGGGAAGAGAGGTGAGATTGAGAACTGTGTAGCAATTTTTTTTAAAAAGATACTAATAACTACAAAGAAAGACTAGCATTTGGAAAGTATATTATTTCTAAGGAAGAAAACATTATGTTTTTTATTATCCAGTTCAATATTCAGTCGTATTATATACTGTTCTTGAAAATTACCTCTTAGCACACGGCTCTTCTTTAGATTTTTTTTTTTCCCCCAAAACTCAGCTTTTTCAGAAAGTCTTTCCTGAGAGTCTATCACCAAATGTTCCATTGCACTATTATATCAGGATAAATAATAGCAAATTGAATGTAGAACAACGTTACTATCTCTCATTAAGACCACAACTATGCTGTCATTTTTACTCTCTGATATTTCTGTGACTTGAAATTTTAATCTTATTTAAGTAAAATCACTAAGCAAATGTCACTTCCTCTCTAAGCTATTTATGCTTATAAATAGCTTATACACTGTTGACACTTATGAAATT